CCCCCATCCATTTGCTCATTTCCCAGTCCTCCTAGTGCTTGCACATACCCAATTGTGCTGGGCAGTGTGTGCATCTGGGAGCGCTGCTCCTGCTAATACTTCTACTGTTCTCCTCCTGCACACCATTCCTCCAGCAGTACTGGACAGTGTGAGCAGATGGGAGTGTGAATGGTAGGAGATTTCACAACAGCAGATGGGAAGCAGGGGAGATGAGAGGGTGGGTGGTGGCAGTAGTGGGCCCCAGCAGAAGACCTGGGGCTTGGCAACTGCCCCACCTCAAAGTATGCTGCCACCAGTACTGCTTCACTTATATCCATTTAATTCAGTGCTAGTTTGTAAGGTAGTGCTTCCTGTGCTCAGTAGTATTCCTGAAGTGTGAGGGTATATATGCATACACACTGTATTGTGAAACCACAGTGACACTACAACACTCAATGAACCTACATTGCAGTTCCCCTTCCATATATGTTCTGTGCAGCTGGAGAATTAAAATGACTTCATGTTCCAAATATTTCAGTGCTTGATGGAAAAGCAATAAATGAATAGTACAGGTCATTTTCAAAATGGAGAAAAGAAGAGAGAGAAGATGAAGAAGAGATTGGATTTATATCCCGCCCTTCACTAGGAGTCTCAGAGCAGCTTACAAACTCCTTTCCTGTCCCCTCCCACAATGGACACTCTGTGAGGTAGGTGGGGCTGCGAGAGCTCTTTCGAGAATTGCTCTTTCAAGTACAGCTCTGACAGAACTATGACTTGCCCAAGGTCATCCAGCAGCTGCAAGTGGAGGAGTGGGGAATTAAACCCGGTTCTCCCAGATTAGAGTCCGCACACTTAACCACTATACTGCTTAATCACAAGCATCTTGAGTTTAAAGGAACTCAGCAACAGGGATGGAAAAACCCTCTGCTTAGTACAATGAACAATTGTACCCCATCAGAAGAGATAAACATGCTTCTTCATACTTCTCTTTATTCTGAAAGAAGGGAAATGCCTCTGTTAAGGTGGTGCTGCTGCCTATAATAAGTGCTCATATTAGAAATACCAGCTTTAAAAAAAATGCACTACCCAATTAATTGGGAGCATCTTTTCAGTGACTTAAAGGATTTTAATCAGGAAATGTAGCTAAATTTCCTGATTAAACTCTTTTGATCCACTGAAAAGGTAGCCCCAATTAATTGTATTACATGTTGCATCCTTAGATAGCTGTTTCATATATTCTACTTTACAGACTATAGGAATATACAAAGTTCATATAATCAATAAAAACCGTGGAAGAGTAAACAGCACTAGTTCCTCCAAGAAGTTTAGTAAGAGAAGGATTTTGATGTACATGTAAGTCAGTCAATTCGCATGTAGAGACAGAGAAAACTATTATAATAACTAGTGGAAAGAAACAGAAGACAACAACAAAAAAGGGAAAACAAGAGATCTGTTCCACAAGATCCAAGAAATCACTGTGAAATTTAAAGCACAGTTATGCATGCTGAAATATCAATACGGAAATACATTAACTGAAAAGGACAAAATAAAGAAAAGATGGGAGCTATACAAAAGAGAGGGAAGGATGACAGATTCTTACCAAGAAAAATCTTTTGAAGAGGAACCTACTGTTGTAGAACATGAAGTGAAAGCTGGTAGGACAGAATATGGCAAAACAGGATAGTTTCCATT